CGATGGCTGGGTTGGTCGTACAAGTCGGTTGGATCAATAGGCCCTTGATCCAAATAGTACCGTTGGTTGTATATATTCACGTCGTCCCCAACCTACGAGAGAATAACAACAAGGTTAGTACATAGATTAATTAAAAAGCTTATAACAAAAACAAAAATTGACCAAAATAATGAGTATGTACCGCTTGAAATTCATCATAATAAACTCCCTCTCCTTGGAACTACTCGTTCATTTTTTCGCGAAAGTCGGACATAAATTCGGCGGGTTTTGAGGGAAAACCCAAAGAAATGTTTTATGATGGCAGATCGGACTTAGCCGCAACCAACAGACCACTATTTCCTAGACTTTTGGGAGGGGAGGGGTTAGAGAGGTAATTTTAGAGAGATAGAGTGAAGAATGGTTGTGGTGTGAAGAAATGAGAGGGGGGAGGGGGTATTTGTACCCAGCAGACCGCACTCTTCTGGGGCGTTCTGGTAATTTCTCCCACCTTGAAACCGCTCCCTTCCGATGCGGTCTGCAGTTGCCGAGGCGTTGACCGCTCCCTGCAGCTGCGATCTGCGATCCATGGCGCGGATCGCTGAGGTGGCATGCGTTCTGTCGCTAGATCGCCACCTGATCCTGCGGTCTCGAAGCTCGCTCCCGAGGAAACACAGACCGCACCTTGGAGGTGCGTTTCCCAGTCTGATGTGGCGCAAAACGCACATCCAAGGTGCGGTTTAGTTATAAAACGCACCTTGGAGGTGCGGTTTGATAAAAATGGTGCTATTTTTGTAAATTTTGTGGGTTGGATACTATTTTTGTAATTTTTATTAATAGGTGCTATTATTGGAAAAATCCCTTCAGATCATCTTGATGTTGTTCATCGGATTCTCCGGTATTTACAGGGTACTCGTGATATCAGTATTTTCTTTCCTTCTAATACCTCTTTTACCCTTGCTGCCTACTCCGATTCCGATTTTGCTGGCTGTGTTGATACTCGCCGTTCTACTACGGGGTGGTGCATTCAACTTGGTGGGGCCTTTATTTCTTGGCGCTGTAAGAAGCAGGAAAAAGTATCCAAATCTTCTTCAAAGGCCGAATACAGAGCTATGTCGCCTCTGAGCTTGTTTGGTTGCGTCGTCTTCTCTCTGATTTTGGTGTTTCATGTTCTCTACCTATGGATCTTTTTGTTGATAATACGAGTGCTATTCGAATTGCTGCTAAATGAGAAGAAAGAGTGAGAGACCAGATGGGAAAAGAAGTAGGAGAGACTAAGGGGGGAAAATCGAATAAGCCAGCGAGCCCTTCAATTTTTTGGCCGCTCAACCCCTTCCCTTCACCAGGCCTAATCTTGATGTTAATGGGCCGAGTCTTAACATGCCGAGACTGAAAACTAGAAAGTTGGGAGAAGGGGCCAGCAAGCTCCAAGACTCTCAAACCCACGAGACAGCCAAGGCAAAGGCTATGATTTCGTTTCAAGAAGCAAATGAGGCTCAAAAGTTGCAGTTCCAGGCTGCCTCACCATCCTACGAATTAGGTAATCTATTTTGTAGTGAGGATCCTAGCTTTTTGTTTGAAAATATGGGAGATTCTCACTTTCTTGGCATGCAAGATTTTGAGCTTGAACTAGACAAAACAGGCAATAAGGAAATCTCCACTGACTCAGCACAATCATGCTCACCAATTGGTCGCGTTATAGATGGTGAGTCTAAAGGAAAAGCTATCATGATAGAGTCATCGGGTTCACCAAAATTCTACACAAGGAGAAACAATGGCATCAGTATTCGAGAGCCGGAGGAAGGCGTAGTGGAGTCAGCCCCAAAACGTCCTAAGGTGATAGAAGAGAAAAGGGTGGAGGAAGCCAACCCAAAGTGGCCCCAACCCGATAAATGAATGTCTACGCGTGGAACTATCAAGGAATCGGCAGCACCTTGACTTCCAAGACGCTGAAAGCTTGCCACAACATTGCCAACTCATTCTTGTTTTTGTGTGAAACTATGTCTCCTAGTGACAAAGTAAGGTCTTTTATTTCTACGTTAGGTTTTTCAGATTGTCATCTTGTTGACCCTTCCGGCATGTCGGGGAGTCTAGTCTTTGCTTGGCCACCATCAACTTCAATCTCGATTCTGGGCTCCTCTCCTTGTTATATCGCCGTCTCAGTCATCAATAATAACGTCCTTTGCTATGGAGATTGTCCTCGTTTTGTCCTCATAGGGGTTTATTTATCCTATATTGTGACCAAGCGTCGATCTCAACTTGAGGAAATTGCAAATTTTTGTGCTCGCCTATCGGATCCCTACCTAGTTATTGGAGATTTCAATAGCTCCTTATATCCCCTCAATAAGGCAGGAGGGTCCCCATGGCGAATGGATAAAGCCCGTCCACTGTGGGACTTTGTTAATCTGTTAGGTTTATTTGAACCAAATTCCCAAGGGCCCAAATTTACCTGGACTAATCGGGGAAGGAATGGAGTCACGATTGAACAAATAATAGACAGAGTCTTCGTCTCTACATCCTGGATGAGTATCTGGCCTTCGACGAGCGTATATCATCTCACAGACATAGGATCCGACATAGGTTACTTTTCTTGCAGACACATCCTATGATGGCTAAAGCAAAGAGACTATTTCGTTTCGATATCAGGTGGATCCAAATGCCGGAAGCTGAGTTAATAATCACTTATGCTTGGAACCTAGAGGTAGCAGGCTCAATTCAATACTGCCTATTTAGTAAGCTTCTGCGAACTAGATATGCGTTGGTTGGTTGGTCTAGAGGAGGAACATCTAACTCAGCAAGGTTAATAAACGACCTAAACCGCGCACTAAAAGAGGCTAGAACTAATGATTTGGTAAACTGGGCCTTAGTCAAATCATTGGAAAAAGAATTGATTGTCCAATATAATCGGGAAGAAATATTTTGGAGACAAAAATCCTGAACCAATTGGCTACAAGGAGGGGAAAAAATACCGCTTATTTCCATATAGTCACCGCAGCCAGACGACAAGCCAATACAATTTGGGGCCTGGAAAATTCCCAAGGGTCATGGTGTACTGCAGAACACGAGAAATTGAACATTGCGGTGGATTACTATAAAGACCTCTTTCTAACACAATGTATGTCCACAATTGACTTATCCCACCTCCCGGTAGAAAAAACAGTGGAAGAAATCCAGAATCAAAGCCTAATCGCTCCAATAACTCAAGAAGAAATTAAGAAAGCGGTGTTCAGCATAGGCAAAACACAAGCCCCAGGCCCTGATGGATTTACGGCAGGTTTCTACCAAAATTATTGGGAGCTAATCAATCAAGATGTGATCCAAGCAGTATCGGCTTTTTTCCATTCTGGGCATTTACTAAGGTCCTTCAACCGTACTTGGATATCTCTAGTCCCCAAGGTAAACAACGTAAGAACCATGAAAAACCTAAGGCCAATCAGCCTTTGCCAAGTGATTTACAAAGTCATTTCCCAAACACAAAACGGGTTTATCAAAGGGCGCCAAATTTCTGATAACATTCTGATCAGCCATGAAATGGTTCATAATCTCAAAACTTCAAAATCCAAGAAAAAAATGTGGATGGCAGTGAAGTTGGATATGGAGAAAGCATATGATCGAATAGAATGGCCTTTCTTGTTCGAAATGATGAGGATTCTTGGTATACACCCTAGATTTATTTCTTGGGTAAAAGAGTGCGTCACTACAGTGTCATACTCGATTCTCATTAACGGTTCCCCATCAGAGTATTTTAGACCTTCAAGAGGACTAAGACAAGGAGATCCTCTATCGTCTCTCCTTTTCGCCATCTGTGCCGAAGGATTTTCTAGTATGATAAGGAAAGCTACCTCCACAGGATACCTTGAAGGAGTCAGAATCCGCCCTAGTTGTCCGATAATTTCCCATCTATTTTTTGCGGATGACTCATACCTATTCTTATCCGCCTCGCCGGAGTATTGTACATCTCTCCTCTCCCTTCTTCAGGCTTACGAGGATCTGAGCGGTCAACGAATAAACTTAAATAAATCAGCCGTTCTTTTCAGTCACAATACAGACCCTTCCCAAGCTCAATCTATGGGAGCTCAATTGGGTGTTGGTACCATAGGAGAACATGACTCTTATTTAGGCCTACCAGCTATCTTATCTAAATAAAAAAGAGAGACATTCCAGTTCATGGAGGAGAAGCTTATTAAGAAACTTCAAGGGTGGAAACAACGATCACTTTCAAAAGCTGGGAAAGACATTCTTATTAGAACATCGGCCACTTATACACCATTCCTAGGTATGTCATGCTTCAAGCTCCCCAAAGAAAATTGTAGGCACTTAAACAGTCATATCGCAAAATTTTGGTGGGGTACGGCACAAAATTCAGAACACCCAATCCACTGGTTTTCTTGGAAAAACCTAGCTCACAGCAAGTTCCATGGAGGTCTTGGATTCAGGGACTTTGAGGCCTTCAATCAAGCGTTGTTAGCTAAACAATGTTGGAGAATATGGACCAATCCAAATTCATTACTCTCCCAAATATATAAGGGTCGATACTTTACCCAATGCTCGATGTTGGAAGCATCAATCGTTTCAAACCCTTCGTGGGGGTGGAGAAGTCTACTCTTTGGAAGAGATCTGCTCCTACAGGGACTAAGATGGCAAATAGGCAATGGGCAAAGAACCTGAGCATTCATTGACAAATGGGTTCCGGAAGATAAACCCTTAACCCCAAATACTCGACCCCATATTCAGAATGGATCTCCTATGGTATCTTATTTCATAAAAGAAGGTCGAGGGGAATGAGACGTTGCAAAACTCGAGAATTGCTTTGAACCCCAATTTGTTGAACTCATAAGGAAAATTCCTCTTCCTCGATACTTTCAGCGGGACATTAGAGTGTGGCATTATTCCAAAGATGGAAAATACACAGTAAAATCGGGGTATCACTTAGCTCTGGAAATAACATTGGCAACAAGTCGAAAACCAATAGTGCATATCATCGATCCTCCAATTTGGAAAAAGACTTGGAACATCCAAGCTACGCCTAAACTCAAGTTCTTCATATGGCAATGCCTCAAAGTCATACTTCCAACAGCAGTGGCCCTTCAATCTCGTGGAGTAAACTGTCTTAAACGATGTCCTGTCTGCTGGAGACATAGAGAAAGTATTGAACACTTATTTTTCAGATGCCCCCTAGCCATCAGATTGTGGGCTTTAGTGGGTTTGAGCAACTTTATTGAGACCGCCCAGACTGTTAACTTTAGTCTATGGTGGCGACATGTCATGGTCTCCGAGACCTCCCCATTCCACATTCTCCAATGCGTTTGTTTACTTCGGAGAATCTGGAAGTCTAGAAATGAAGTGACCTTTGAATTTACCCAACCTCATGTCCGTTCCCTAGCCAGACAGTTCTACAACCAGGTCCTCGAATTCTCCAGTCTTCTTTCCCCCCTTCCTCCCCGCAGCTCTCTACCACCAATCACGCCTGCCACCACTTGGGTCCCTCCTCCAGAAGGTTTTTTGAATATCAACGTCGACGCAGTCGTCAGTGCCTCTGGGTGTTCGTCTGGGCTTGTTGTCCGTGGGTCAGACGGGCATGTGTTGTTGGCGATCGGGTTGCAGCATCAAGGAATAGTCAACCCTTATCTGGCTGAGTTGCTAGCGCTCAGAGATGCTATCTCCTTGGTGGCCTCAAGATCCTTGTCCCATGTGATAGTCGAAGGTGATTCCGAAGTGGTCGTCAACCAAGTCCGTCACGGCGTCTCAGAAGACTCGATTGGTGGTCCGGTGCTTCGAGAGTGTCTTCAGATCCTTAGCTCTTTGTCTGTTTGTATAGAGTTTAAGGCGGTACCTAGATCCGCCAACAGTGCTGCCCATAGAGTGGCGCGTAAAGCACTGCTTTTATCTCCTGTAGAGCTAGAATCTTTTGATTTCTTGGGGTGGCTTCTTTAGATTCTGTTAGGGGTCCTGGTAGAATTGTAAGCTTAACTATTATTTCTCATTGATATCACTCAGGAAAAAAAAATAATGAATGTAATCAATCAGGCAAAAAACAACACATTATTGTGCAACTTTAATAATAATAATTAATATTAATAAATTAAAGCTACAAGTGAGCGACACAGTTCCTCACGAGAAAATAGGCTCATTAATTAATTAATCCCCACCCGCTGTTCATAGTGGGCTTATATCCTCTATACCCAATTTTACTGCGAGTCCTTTTTTATAGCTACTATAATCAATTTCACCATAAGTAGTTTTTCACATATAGCCAATTATCTCTGTACCTTTTAGCTTGGCTCTTATTTTTTAGTTTACAAGGAGAAAAGCCAAAAAAAATATTTATAGCGTTCCTCAGGCTTCGATAAATCTATCACTCAATCACCACTCAATATCATTGTCTGATTTTTAATTGTCCGATCAACTACAATTGATGAGTTTAGCTTATAATTGAATCATAGATTGCTCTGATTCTTTGTTACATCATACTTTTTTGTTTGGCTCTTCTTTTTAGTTTCCAGGGAGAAAAACCAAAAGATACATTGAATCAAAATTTCTTTATTATTAACTAAGTTGTCGATCATCTGATTGATTTATTTACATTACACATAAACTTTAGCCTCTATACCAAATTTCACCACGAGTCTTTTTCTTCTTCTTATAGCCCATTGTTTTAGTTTTTTTACACAATCCTCTCTACCCAATTTCAACATAAGCTTCAATGACTTGTTTAAATCCATTCGGTGGAGCTTAATTGTCCTACAGTATAGACACTTGTGTGTTTGTTTGTTTTTGCAAGGCCACGTAGTTTTCCCTTGACCACACAAGCATCCATCTATTATGCTTCTCAACAGTAAAAGTTGGCACGGGCCCACCAAGGTACTTCATTTGTGTCGCAGCTCTGTGTTACCAAACAATTGTTGGCGGTTCTCCATGCACATGGCAATGGAAATTACTGCTCTGCTTTTGCTATCGGCAAGGATGATCTATCCTCCGGCTTCTTTGGCTTTGGTGAGTGTTGTGTACCCGCTTGTATCCTTTGTTCCATTTCTTAGGATGTTGACTGAGCTGCCTATTTAGTGGCTAAAAAGGCTCTTTTATCTGCGGATTGATTAACTATCGACCCCCGCATTTTGATTATTTCATTTTCTTCATATTTGTAAGCATACTGCATTGTACACCTACCTATATCTTTATACACCTATCTATGGAAAAAAATTCAACATAAGCCACTTTCCCAGATAGCCAATTTGTAATTTTTAGCCCGAGTCTTATTTTTTTCAGTTTCCATTGAGAAAAGTTCAAAGATATATGTTTGATTTCAATTTTTACATTAAAGTTTTATCTAACTTGATATTTTACATAAATTTATTTTATTTTTAGATCACATATTACGGAAGATATATGTAACAGTTTTCTAAAAAATTTACGCAAACCTACTATATAAGTCTTTCGAGATATAAGTTGAAAAAAATCTTTATTAATATCTAAATTATTGTCCATCTCATCTATTTGCTTTACAAAAGATTATGCAAATTGTAAGATCAATTATTTTTAACGTAATAGTTTAATCAAATGTAATACTTTTCGTAACTTAAATGTTTTAATTATATATCAATAAAACAAACATATTGTGTAAGTTTTCCTTAATTATTAAGGTATTATGTAAAATTTATAGAGCAATAATTATTTATTATATATCAACTATGCAAAACTTATAGAAGTATCTTACCCCAAGTATTTTGTGAATTTTTTTATTTCAACTATTATTAGATAACCGATGTGGAGCGCGAGTCAAAAAACTAGTATAAATTAATCTTCCAATAAGAAAACCAATAACCCAATTGTCACTTTTTTTAGTCTTATTTTTTCTGTTCTTGTTCTAGGCGACACTAGAATCTAAATTAGCGTAGTCTCCATCTTACTCAAACTAATAACCTTCTGCTACGGGTCAGGGCGCCCCTCTGCAAAGTGCTAAATTCACAATCGCTGTAAGCCATAAACTTCTGCAAGTATAGATATCTTCAGACTGCGAGAGGGAAATGGTGCTTGCCCGCGTTGCAGAGTACCACTTGAATCTTTCTATGCCTGCTTATTGCTGCAAACTTATGGATCTGACCGACTCCACTTTCATGTCAACTCGCACCTCTGGTAGAAGTAAGCATAGCAGCAGCAGCAGGTAAAGAATCTTTTCGACTAGGAAGTCGATGGGACCCTTGATAGAAAGATTAAAACCTGATCTAACACTTCTCAAACTTTGCCATGAGAAAATTTCAGCCTACACCTAGCAGATCCGAGTTCTTCATACTCTGCCTTTGTGACGCAAGTTCCTTCAAACTCAGGACTTGATGCCAGAAATGATCCACCTCTCCATACACCTAATATGGGACTGCCAAAAAGAAAATTTTGCAGAGTCTGTTAACAAAGGCTAAAAACAGAATTAAGACGGGGCGATATTTAGGGGTATGTGGAGGGAACGGAGCGGAAGGAGTTTGCTTACTCTTCTTGTGTTATTATCTTCAAGTGATAGTCCTCAGGAATAAGCGGCCTCAGTTCTAACTCGCTACCAATTTTAAGTCAACAACAGTTCAATAAGTAAAGATGCCATTGTATCATCTAACAAACTCAAAAGAGCACAAACGACTTACAGTCTCTCAGCAAATCGAGGGAACAATGTGCTTCCACCGGTTAAAATAATGCTGGACAAACAAACCAAACCCAAAGTTTGTTGGAGCAAAGTTCAGTAACAATACCACAGTAACACATAGCTTAAGAAATGAAATGACTTTCAGAAAAAAGAAAAAAAAGAACCTCTCATAGAGAACAGGGTGAAGAAGAGAACTACAAGCATTGACTGCTCGAACTATGCATTCTGCAAGCCCAGCTTGATTCAAACCTGCAGTAGAAACGAAGAAAACGTCAACCCCATAACTCCAAAATGCTGCATTTCAAATGGAAGATAAACCCCAAAATCAACACGAACCCAAATCCACTGGGTGGAACAGCATCTCCGGGACAAGGAATCGTTCATTCGTCAAGTCAAACTCCTGCACAGATCACGTCTTAGTTAAACAATCAGGGACAGAGAGAACTTTGAAAGTCCAAAGAAACTTTCACCTAAAGCTCACATTTTTGTTCAAATCGGACTTCTTCCTATCTTGAACCCTCTCCCCAGAATCACCATGATCCTCAATATTCTCCAAGCTTAACATTTTGTATCCCTCTGCCTCCTTCTCATCCTTAACAAAACCGTTTGTGTGTGTTACCCCATCAGGCAATACATAAGTACACCTCATCAGATTATCCTTCCCTCTCCTCCTGCAAATTGGGTTCTCAAACTCTTCAGCTAAAGTTCAAAACTTCATCAGCCCAAATTGCTCTTCAGTCTCCATATGAAACAAAGCCAGGAAAAAAAAAATTCAAGTTTCAAAATGGTTACCTAGCAATCTGCAAATCGCGAGCAACATCATCTGAAACGAAGCAGAGCTTCTCCTTGACATCATCGATAATGAAGCTCTGGTCCATCACATTCACCGACCGGTAAGAAACCAGCTCCTTCAAGTAATTCGTCAATGCCTTCCCGCCAAGATCGATTCTCTTGGCGGCGTAGCTGAGGGCGACGTTCTGGTAGACTGGTGTGGCGTGGGTGAAGGAGAAGCCGCAATCGACGACGAGGCTACACTGGGCTGTGGCAGCCAAGCCGTGAGGTTGTCGATTAGCTTCATAGATGTGGACGAGCTTCGCCGGGTCGGCGACATGGAGCGATTTGAACCCGAAATCCTCGAAGACGAGCTCGTCGGCGGCGCGCTGAATCGAAGGCAGGGCGAATAAGGGTTCGGTCAAGAGGAGCGTGGAATTGGGAGGCGAGATTTTGAGGTGGGTGGAGAAGAGGTGGCTCCAGATGTCGCGCTGGAGGTCCGGGTTGATTAGGTATCCGCGGTCGATTGGGCGGCGGACGGCGGCGGAGGTTAGGTCTTCGGTGGCGGTGGAGGAGGGGAAGAGAGGGGAAGGGTGGATGAATTTTTTGGAGGAGAGCGGGCGGTAGAGGCAGTTGGGGATTACGGTGGTGGGATCGTCGTCGCCGGCGTGGCCGGCTTTTAGCAGGCCTCCGCCGTTGTCGAGGACGACGACGTTGGACATGGCCGGGGATTTGTCTGATTTTCGATGCTGGGTTTTGTTTTGTCTAGTTTGGAAGGAAGAAGCGACGGCCGGCCAAATATCATGAAAACGACGGGGAAAGGAAAATTACAAAAGTAGTCATCGAAGAAAATTGCTTCACCGTTCTAAGGAATTTCATATAAAAATGTCAAATTAGAACTGAGTCGAATCATATTGTTCTTCGTATTCACAAGATAAATCAAATTTTGAACCAGCTTATATGTCGTCTTCTGATAAATATCAAATGATTTGTATACTAATTAGAACAAAAGTAGTGTTTTTCTGATAGTTTCATGAGATGGAAACAACATTATTTTGTAAATTTGGTCTTTTCTAGGTTTTTTTTCAGGACTGGAACGATGATCAAACCAATTTATAGTTGATACGATGTGATATGGATGATATAATTTTAGATTTGTACAATTCCATGTAAGCTACTTTCAACTTTGTGGCTTACATGATTTTAGGGTGCCTATATTGTTAATAAGAATGTCTTCCTACTAAAATGTGAGTGAATTCATAATCCACGGATTAATTAAGACGAAACAGGTCACGAGCTCATTCTTAATGACGATCTACGAATACAACCCTACATTATGCACATTAGAGTTCAACTGATTCCACTTTATGACTCATCATAAATCAATTCATGACCTCTAAAACTGATTAAATGATAACATACATGAAAGTTCTCATTTATCTAAAGATGCAAAGATCTGAATCCCCAAAACACAAAGAATCATAAAATAAAAACACTGTAGTACCAACAGGTCCAAAACATACTATTCCTCTATAACACCAACAATGGCGGAAAGCTCAAAAGAAGGAAGGAAAAAAACCGTTCAATAGGGATGTGAGTAATTATAGAACCCACCAGGCTGCGGCATCCCATAAGGCATCATCACCATCGCCTGCTGTGAAGGATTATAAAAACCAGCACCATTACCATTCGCCATTGCAACTTGCCCACCGTGAACACCACCATACTGCTGCCACGCCTGCTGCTCGTGCACGAACATCTGCTGCTTCGCCTGCATCTCCGCCATCTGCACGTACGACGGCGGAGGCACCGCCAGTGACGCCGCGAATGGGTCCTGACCCGCCACCACCTGCATCGTCCCGTCAGGTGCAGGCAGCGCCAGCATCGGCGCTGCCTGCATCATCCCACCAGGCAGCACCACGCTGCTAGCGCTCCCAGCACTAGCAGCGTTGGTCGAGGCCACATGCTGCTTCACCGCGCCCTGATCGTACATTCCATTCAGCGTCAGGGCGTCGAGCCCGCCTGCCATCGTAGCCTTCTGCTTGTTCAGGTTGCTGGTTGACTCCACCAGAGCCAGTTCCCAATCCGCCCTGCCTCTCTCCGCCGCAGGATTCTGCCATCCTGATGTTACTGTCTCCGCCGCCTCGCCATTCGTAGAAGGGAATTCTTCCCACAATGCCAATGCGAATTTGTTCCCCTCTCCTTCCGTCGTGACACCATCATCTCTCAGGTTCACCAAATCCTCTGTAGCCACCACGGCCACAACCTGTTGCGCCACAGGTTGTTGCTGCTGCTTCGGCTCAGGTGTTGGCGGGGGAGTACTAGTACAGCTCTCAGGAGCAGGCAGAGCCTTGATCGTGTTCATATCAAGCACCTCCTCTTCCTCGACTGGAGCTACAACCTCTTTCGTCGAAGGCGGCGCCTTCTTCAGGAACCCTTCTAAAGTTCCGAGCAGATTGTCAGTAATCCTCTGCACATCAGGATACTCCGAAGACCTCGCGACCCCAACATCCTTACACCATCCGTAGAATCCAATCAGCTCGTCGATCATCTTCCCCGCGCTCACATAGACATCGAACGCCTTCACCGTGTGGGCGTACTCCATCTCCGCGAATCGATCGAGCAGGACGGTCAGGACCTCGACTATCTCCATGTACAGAGCAAAGCTCTCCTTAACCACCTGCTGAAACGCCACCAGCACCAACCTATTGGTCCTCGCCATTCCTGCAGGCCTGCAGGCCAGAATCCTGTCCAGAACTCTCAGCAGCTGGCTCGATTTCCCCAAAACGCCGTCCGTCGCCATCTCCTTGATCGGAGCCAGATCCTTCGGTTTCCTAATCAATTGATTGGGGGTTTCATCTTCCCCGCGGCCGTTGCTGTGATTCGACCACCTCCGCTTCCCCAATTCGTCCTCCCTCTCGTCGAATCGCCTCTGATTCTCCGACCTCCAGTTCCTGTCAAACCCTAGCTCCTCATCTTTCTCGTCGAACCTCCTCCCGAACTCGCAATTAGCGGCCTCGTCGTCGCCGCGGCGGCCCTTCTCGCCGCCGCCGGCTCGCCACTTCCGCTCGAACGCCGAGCTGCCGACCTTCTCGTCGAGGTACATGGCGTAGAACCGGACGAAGCCGGCGTGGTCCCACGAGTTGGAGCTCGCCTCGGCGCGGAAGTCGGACATGTTGAGGATCCGCATCCCGCTGCGGGCGGCGTAGAGGATCTCGTCCTCGAAGGAAGGGTGGCCGTCGGCGAGGATGCGGTGGACGAGCATCAGCGACTTGAGCGCCACCATCCAGTCGTGCGTCTTGCTCAGCCGCTTCGAGACGGTGGCGACGCACGCGCTCATGTAGCCGCGTGATGAGGAGGTGAGGGAGAGGATCTCCCTGTAGTACTTCTCGTCGGTCGGCTCCTCGCCGTGGCTCGTCGCCTTCACGACGAGGACCTCCAGCTCCGGCGAAATTGTCCCCGCCACTTTCGCCAGGCCGATGGTGGTGTGGTCCTTCACCGCCCCGATCGCCTTTCTGAACGTACTCGGCGCCATTTTTTTCTCTCCCAACAAAAAAAAAATTCACCAGTCCTCTGCTACTCTCCTTCTTGTCGGGAAACCCTAATTCGCTTGACCTAGAATCAGAACCAGGTGGAAAATCTAAGATGAGAAGCGGAATTGAGTTATGGAGAGGAGAATGCGGTGGATTTGGAACCTGTATTGTTCGCCCGGCGGAGAAACGGAATGATCCGGACGGCGATCTAGGCGGAAGGGAAAATCGGGTGACTGACTGTGAGATGGATGAATGACGGCGGCGGCGGCCGGATGATCGGAGAGGGCGGCGCGCTGCGGGGGAAGATTTTTGAGAATCCAAAGGACTGGATTTCAGGAGTGTAAGTGAAGAAGGAGTCCGTTTCTGATGAAGACGAGATTTTCTGAATTTTCAGTTTTTTTTTTTCATTTCCAAATTTTTGGGGTTTTTTGGATTTTAATTAATTGTACGCGTTAAATATTTCTGTCTGGTATTACGCGGCCGAATGGAGAGAGAAAGTGACGGCGGTAACTCCTATGTTTCCTGTTAACGGCGTGTGCTTCTTTTCTTGTTAACAAGACTGCGAATATGCCGTTACCGTTATGGTTGCTTGAAGAGTGTTGGTCTACTCTATGTACATTGTTCGTGAATTATGCATTGAATATGTCTTTGGTTTTTTGGAGGATATGCATATTTGAACTAATGTAAAATTTCATGAATTTTCTTTTCTTGAGTTATAACAGAACAAATCCTTAGGTAACATCATATACTCAACTTCTATAACGAAAAATCTAGTAATTCACAAGACAAAGTCAATTAGTACAAGTTATAATAAATTACTAATGACTCATTTTTGTGGTCTGAAAATTTATAAAATTTATCGATGTCTACCGGGTTAGTAAATCTTATTCAATGCTATACATGTCAATGACTCGCAAACTTTTGCCTCTTCAATTTTGAAAAATTATTCTGTCCAAACATAAAATCTCTTTCAACACTTGTAATTGCAACGGATAAAATCAAAACAAAATTTAAAAAGCAAATGGACCGATGAAAATAATAAACTCATTTTTGTCCTCATAGTCAAATGAGCTAATTCGAAGGCCTATAAGACTAGACTGGAGGGGGGCTCATAGATATAAAGAAGAGAGAGTGGCATCGAGTCAAGTAGACTGTTACTTTTTCTTCGTGTGTTCTGAGGAGAAGAGACGAACCATAAATAGAAATTGATTTCAATTTTAGAATTTTGATAAAATTAAAAAATTTAGTTGGAATACATTTAAAGTAAAAAATTCCTATTATGTATCATAGTTAACAAACACAAGCTTTTGGTGTAACGGATAACAGCTTAGTTTGGCCCTGCTGCAGTTTTTGCATAAGCAGCTTCTAGCTAGAGTTTTTAGATAAGTATTTTTCAAAAAAATCAGTTGAGTGTTTGGCTGTAAAATTATTAGAAGTGTTTTTTAATATGAGAGGTTGTGTAAAATGACTATAAAAGACTTATAATATAAAATATGAATAAAAATACTAAACAATAAAAAGTAGTCAAAATGGATCTTGTTAGATTTCTTTTATATTAAATAATATGATTTTACAATTTATTTTATTTTTAAAATGATATAAATGAAGGAAAATTATATTTTCTTAAATAAAATAAAAATATGGTAAGGATAATCTTGTATTTTCAAAACAGTTTTTCGCAGAAGCTCCAAATCGGAGCTTCTGCTTTTATGCTATACAAAAGTGTTTTTCGGCTTTTCAAAAGCCGAGTTTTTACAGGTATTTGGCCCTGCTTCAGCTTTTGTAGCCGTAAAGCACTTCTAAAAGTTGGGCCAAACATAAATAACATCATCTTTGTTATAATTGTTACAAGATCAAGGGTTCAATATTAAGAAACAACCATTTTTGTCTCCCACAAATCAGAAGTTACAAGTCAATGATCAATAATTTTCCTCCAAACTTTAGGACTCACCTAAACATCCATGGATTCGTCCTTGAGTACACTCTATCACTGACACCAAAAACACTTGGTGATTAAATAAATTGTATGTATAACCCACTATCTACTGACAAATGGTCCTAAGGAGAGACAACAAGCAACACTACGAACCCCGAAAACATAGCAGATCTCCAACTAGAATTTAAGCAATACACCTCAGTTTGGAGATACCCAATTAGACCCATTAAATCCTATACTTAGCATAGGCTAAGTAACGTATATCTTTTTTTTTTTTTTTACAAAAGTTAATTATTATATTGATTAGAACAAGAGATCATTACATCATGGAATTCAACCAGGCTAGAAAATCAAAGAAGCGATATGTAATCGGGTACAAAGAGAGGACTTTTCTAGCCACCAAATGGGCTACCCTATTACTACTCCGTCCTACAAAACGCACATTAATCCGACTGTGATTCACCAAATAGCTCCTATCCGATTATCACGGGTGTCACCCCGAAGATGGGCAAAAAAAGATGGGACAAAGAAGATATATCTTAATCCATTCAATAAAGAAGATGGGACAATTGGGCATTGCCAACATGAAACCGCTATCTATGGGTTCACACTTGGGTATCATAACCACTCAACCAATTCTATATTTAGGTATGTTTATGCATTTGAGAAGTTTTGCTGTATTGGACTTTTTCCTCTAAAGAAGTTGCAAGAAAAATGCACCAACAAATTCCCATACTTATTAATGGTCTCCATGGACTTGATGTATAAAACAATTCATCGGATAAATTGGTCATGTATTTCTCCGGAACGGAGAACACTATTCCGTCTCATCCACTTATTATTTATTAGAAAAATAAAAAACTTACCTTCCTATTTTTGAAATAAGTCATATGCTTGGATTTGGAAGATGATTTTTTTTTTTGTTTGTTTGTTTATATGCTACATAGTATGGTATCCTGTATGTTAAATAATAGCTCATATTAAGAATGAGACTTTACAATAAAGTAATAAACGATGTAATAGTATTTCGAATTTACAACTTTGTTAATAATTTCAAAAATTATTTTTTTCATTAGTAACCTTCCCCCAAATTTTTCGCGGTTTGGATTGAGAGGAGGATAACAAAATTGTGAAACCAGAGTGATGATACAAGAGAAGAGAGTGAAACAGGGGAGGAATGGGACGGGAGCCCAAGGAAAGTCCGTTTCTCAACACGGATCTCTTTGACTAACGTCGTCAGCAACGCCGTTAACCGCCAAGCTAACAGTCACTTTTTTCCCGCGAATGTGCCTTTCATTAGTAACCTTCCTCCAAATTCCGCGGTCTCCCAGTTTTCAATCTGAAATCTCATTTCCTGAATCTCCCCGAGTCCACCCACTGATCCAACTCAGCCCTAAATCCTCCTCCACCGATGTTCATCCTCCGAGTTCACTCCGTTGACGCCAACCACCCTCTCGATCTCGAGGAGACCGCCTTTTCCGTCGTCTCCTCCACCGCCAGTGAGACTATCCCTAGCCGGAACCCTAACTATAATGAAAGGAGAGGCGTGGTACACCTGTACCGAAGCGTGTCGCAGAGTTCGCTCCCGAACCCTAGCTCTCGCTCCACTTCCCTCTTCGTCGTCGCCGTCCCCAACTACTTGTCGCCCGATGGCTTCGTCCGGTTCTGCGAGACCCACATCGACAATGTCCTCGAGCTCGTCTTCATCAGGTACGACAAACTTGTATCGCCGATCCGTGAGCTCGATTTCCGGGTTACTTAAATTCGTTATTTGGAACTGTAGAAATGATGGGATGGAAGATCGGTATAGCGTGTTGATCAAGCTTGATTCCCAATTGGCTGCCGATAGATTCTACAATTACTTCAATGGGAGACGATTCTCTCCTGCGGAGGTAAATTGAGCTTCTGTGCAGTTTCGGATTTGGGTATTCCAAATTTGTTATCTTTTTCAGCTTTGGTTTGATCCTTCGAATTTTTGTGCTGAGAATTCTGATGATAAATGCAGGCAGAGGTATGCCACATCTTGTTCCTACTCTCGGTGGATTACACCGATTCGGCTGAGGTTGCCAGCACACCTCCGGCAGGGTTTGCGGCATTGCCTACTTGTCCAATATGCCTAGGTTAGTCATTTGGGTGTTCTTTAGAAGCATAGGTTCGAGGGGTAGCTTTCAAGTTCTGTTCTTTATTTTGTTGTTTTGGACTGCAGAGAGATTGGATCCTGACACTAGTGGAATACTCAGTACTCTTTGTGATCATTCATTTCAATGTTCATGCACTTCGAAGTGGACATATTTGTCTTGCCAGGTGAAAAGTTTGTCTTGTTTCTTCTGTGTGTTTGAAGAATATGGATTCATTTGCTTTTCGGGTTTAATTGACTCCATATTCTCTCAGGTGTGTAGATATTGTCAGCAGGAGGATGAGAAACCGACTTGTGCTGTTTGTGACACATTGGAAAATCTCTGGGCTTGTCTGCTATGTGGCTTTGTGGGTTGTGGAAGGTAATAGGTCCTTCGATTTCTGATTATCGATTTAATGTCTATCGTTACCCGGGCCATTATAGATTTGGCTGTCCGTTTAGGTATAAAGAAGGGCATGCGGTAAGGCATTGGAAATGCACAGAGCACCAATACTCTCTTGATTTAACAACTCAACAAATATGGGACTACGTTGGTGACAATTATGTCCATCGCCTGAACCAGTCGAAAGTGTATGATAAGTCTGCTGATGTGAACTCTAACTGTACATACATGGAAGGAGATTGTGGCACCTGTGAGTGTAGTAATGACGATGCTGGGTTTGATGGGGCTCTCTACAGTAGCAAAGTTGAAGCAGTGAGTTCTCTTTTTTGTATACATGAAGCTTTTCATTCCAATTACAAACTAGGGCTAGACTTCATCTGTTGGTTTTGCGCACTTCGTTGCAGATAGTGGATGAGTACAACCGTCTTCTCGCAACACAGCTGGAGACTCAAAGACAGGTGAGTATTTATTAGTTTCCATCTCCCAAAACACCGATGTTTTTCACTTCTTGTGTTATTGCTCCCAATTACCCCTATATCCAAATCCTCTATAGATTATACTCATGGAGAGGAATAGTTAGGCATGGGTTTAGTTGGAAGGTTTCTCCACAGTTGCTACAACCAAGTATCCACACATCTTATGGTATTTTGCTCTTTTTCCATCCACTTGCAGTACTACGAATCATTAATAGCAGAAGCCAAAAGTAGGCAAGAAACCTCGATCTCAGAAGCAGTGGAGGAAGCTGTGAGTTCAACAATGCAGGAGCTCCAGAATAAGCTGGAACAATGTGAACATGAAAAGAAAGCAGTGGCAGAAGTAAGTCTCTCGAATGACTACTGAACAGATTTTGGGGCTCGGTCTTCACAGAATGGAAGGGTTATGTTTTTGTCTTTATTTCCTAGGTCAATCAAGGTCTCATAAAGGATGAAGACACTTGGCGTAAGAAGGCCAAAGAAATTGAGGCTAGGTACAGTTTCTGCAAGTTTGTTTTGGGTTTGTAAGCGCATCCAGAATCCAATGCTAATTCAATTTTCCTCTTCTGCATTCTTCAGGCAGTCTTCATCTTTAAGGTCCAAGGATGAGATGATACTTGATCTAGAAGAACAGGTACTACTGCTAGCTAGCTACCACCTCCGACAGTGAATTATCTTCATTTCTTTTGGAGTTATTTTAATAGTTGGCAAAACTGCATTTTGCAGATTCGAGATCTTACAGTTTACCTCGAAGCCCAGAAGACGCTAAACAAGATGACAGATCCTAGTGATATCCGCGAAGGGACATTACTACCTGTACCTTTAAAGCAGTCCTCCCCAGCCAAAGCCAAGAGGAATGCCAAGTCAAATAGAAGACGAAATTAAATACTGTACAAATTTTAACCAATCCTGTACAGAGATTACTGCTTTTTGCATGCTTGAATTGTGTGCACACTGCACAGTAGTTGCCTTCAGAAAGAAGCATTGTCTGCGTTTTTGTCACCTCAACTTCTCATTGTACAACCATTTAACCAACTGGGGTGGAGAACCAATGAACTACTTTCTTATGGGACTTATCCTCAACAAGTATTTGTTGATTTGTTTCTGGCCAATGCTATAGGATGTATATTCACAATCATGTGTGCTCGCAGAGTTCGTACTAATTACAGGGATTGGTTCTTGCTCATTGATACCTTCACTTTAACATAATATGAGGCGTTCTTTACAGGCTTATAGCACCTACAATCAGGTTAATGCTTCCAGTTTTATACCACGACCGATTTCGGTTAGACTTGGAAGTACAATTGTGCTAACATCGACGTTGCATTACAACTCCAAATAGTAGCTCAGGAACAACAAAATTTCACTGTGCTTACAACTAATGAAACAATGTGAGTAAGCATGAAGAGATGAAATAGACAAACAGCCCAGATTATGCCTTAACAGGAACAAAGTCAAAATAAAAGAAATCTATTATCATGAAGACCTCAAACCCTGGCCCTTGTCTTGATGCATTCTTTGACTATCTAATTTACACCACAAATCTGTCTAAGAGGTTTCTTCAATCATATGTATATTTATGTAAAAAAAAAAAAAAGAAAGAAAGAAAAGAGGATCGCCCCAAATGCATCAAGACTACATTAGTCTTCTCTTATGTGATTAGAGGAGCTTTCAAAACTCTTCTTCCAGGTTGGGGTTGAGAGTGGAGTTGAGCCACAAATTACACTAAGGAAACCCTATAGATAAGTACCCTAAACATTTTCCACAGCTTTCCCTTGAAAAATCAAACTGTGAGGCCAGAACGAGTGGCGTTGCATCATCTAAAGGTGTCATCTTTGAGCTTGTTGTTCTGAACCGGCGGCACCGGAAGTGCTCGGTGCTCCTCCGGCACCGTTCTCAGCCGGTGGCGCGGTGCCCCATTTCCCTTCTGATTCCAGGGGTTCTAGCACATGGACCGCACCGTCTGTTAGTCCCAAAGCAAACTGGTTGGCTTCCGACGGATGTGCAGCGATCACCAAAGGATAGACCCTCAAGCTGATGAAAACATTCAGACGTGTCAAAAGACTAAACCGAGGGACGGCAATAGTGTTTAGCTCAACAGAGAAGAGGAACAGACCTTGGATTTGGAGGTAGATACGCTGCGGAACTAATCCTGCACCTAAGTCTGAGTGCTGGAGCCGTAAGAACACCCACACTTCCATCTTCGAAGCTGACGTATATGGACTGGCTGTCGCATGAGTATGTTGCATGTGTGATGGGATTTGCGTCACGAGGGAACCACTACATAAAGGAACAGTTTATCATCATCCTCTGATTTCTGGAGCCATCAATCACTACAAACGCACAGCTTGAAAGAAACCAGTTTCGTCCAGTTACCTGCTTCAAACAATCAAGTTTTGGTGCTTCGTAAAGTGCTATCTGTGATTCGTGAACGGCGAGCAGATGTGTCTGGTCTACATGAAACTGTACCCGGGTATCCGAAACAGCGGAGGTGGGGCGCCCGGGAGGGATTTGCAGGAATTTACTAACCTGCCTGTCCCATCCATCCGTGTTCCACACACATAACTGTAGCCAGGGAAAAGAATATTAGTAAAATCACTCTAATTAAGAATCGAGAACTTGATACATATGAGGGTTGTGATCTAACCTGAGAGTCTGCTCCAGAAGATATGAGCACATTCAGGGTGTTGGAGAAAGCGAGACCCGTAATTCTTTTCTGATGACCTTTCAACTTAGTTTTAACCTCATCAACCCTGACATTGTAGATCTGGATTGAAGAATCCTCCATCCCAATAGCGATTATGTTATTGTCTTGAGGATGGAATGCCAGGAAAGTTGCAGCCGGTGGTGGGGGCATGAATGTTGTCATTGTCTGCAAATCATACGACGAAATGAGAAAAGAGTATCAGGAATAACCAACTGCTGTGGACCAATGCAAAAGGGAGAAGCTTCTACCTTGAATGTCATCATATTGAAAAGAGAGATCTTTCCTCCTGAAGCTGACATAACATAAGAATCATTCTTAGAAAGAGCAAAGCATGGGACAGCCTCTTCAGGGTTTGTATCACTTATATCATTCGTCATCAATATTCCACTAGATGGTTGCCACAATTGTGGAGCGAGGCTAGCAGTGGCCTGTAGAGGGGGAAAATCCCATAGTTATAACATCGAGGAAATGAACAGAGAATGGAAGGGAAAACTTGGAAAACAAGAGTTACCTTCCCAGTAACGTTTCTATCATTTCTCTGCCATTTCCAGAGCTTATGAACAGCATTAGATGCTAATGCTAATATGGCCATTCCAGAATTTGTATACATTAACCTGGCCACCTGAAACAATTCCCAGTACATGGTAAATTACAATGGTATCAAATAGTTACTCTTACTAGGTTAACCCACAGATCTAAGTTCTAGTTGAATGACATGATAAACCAACTTTAAAGCAAGAAGTTATCAGTACAGATCTCTTCGACGTAAGAACAGGAGCGTCTTAAGTCTGAAATGGTGTGGCCTACTCAGAACAAAGAGAACAACATTACAAAAATGATGAGAGCAGCATACCCTCATTGCAGTTAAATTATCAGGAAGCCTCAGAGAACGACACTGCGATTGCTCATTAATTTCTGCTGCTTTCCAGATCCTGGACTTCTCCATGGGTTCTTCAGTAATCCTAGGTTTAACATCAGCCAAAGCTCGGCTATCATTAATCTGCTGCACAAGACAAGAACAAAATGTAGGGTTCAGCTAATATGATGCAGATTTGTAAATAATCTTCATTTAATAAATGATATGGATATGTTACAAATCAAATGGAAGCTCAATTGAGATTGCACATAAACTCGGAAACGGACCAATCCAACCATGGGTGGCAAAGGAGCAGCTGGATTTCCAATGCTAGTGCCCGGATTCGGATTGGCAGCAGCAAAATTTGGTATTGAAGGGGCCTGTATGTGTAACGATTTTGTCAGCCTCGGAAAAAAGAACTGAATGTAATCGGCATTTTCCAAGCTGAGAAGCCACTCTCACCTTGACAACAGCTGCAGAAGCGGCTCTGGAAGCATCAAATGTGCGATTTTCCACAGTCTTTAGCAGCCTAATTCCATCAGAATTTGCTAGGACTTTAATGCTATTGTCACTGGTCGAGACAGCCATGAGAATTCCTTCTTTATTGAATCTTATACAAGGAGAAGCCTGCAAGCAGGTTTATTGGAAAAGGATTTTAAACAAAGAAAAGAGAAGCAAGAAAAACACCTTAGAGTGCATATCAAAACATACCGGCAGTCCACCATCCGCATCTATACTTGTCAATAAGCTGACATTGTCCATGTCCCAGAATTTGACCATGAATTCATCACCAGCAGCCAAGAACCGATTCTTAGTAGTATCAAATTGCACAACTCCAACTGACCGCTTTCCAAGACCATTATACCTACGCTTTACCGCACCTTCACTTTCATTCCACTCAACCAAATGAGATTCTCCCTCCTTGTTTGTCCCACAAGAGAACAATCTACTTGCCATCCAACAATAGCAGAATATTAGGTGACCCATTAAAGATGACAAGAAACCAAGACAGCAAACAAAGTACCAAAGCATTCCAGCTCAACAACAGAACTTCAACAGGCTAACCAACAACCAGCAATCACAAATAACTCTACAATCATAACTCAAAGAATCAACGAAAAAGTATAAATGACAGAGGACAAATAGAAAACCTTGTTCCATCAGCACTATATGCCATCGTGGTTGATGAATGTCCTGGAGCATCATAATCAACTCTCGAACCCATGGTATCATACAACCATGCTTTAATCTTTCCATCAGTTGCAGTTGAGAATATAAACTGGAAAACAAAAGAAAGAAGTAAGGAAAGGAAGAGCTCTGCAACTAGAAAATCCTCAAATTCAAAAAGCCAATCTCGATGAATGATATAAAACCATAAATCTGGGAACTAGAAAACAAGCTAACCATTGTTTGCTTGACATTACCTGGATATTTTCTTTGTGATGTGGGCACACAGAGTAAACAGGTGCTTCATGACCCTCAAAAGTGAACTGCTTATTGCCAGTAGCTGCATCCCACACCTGTATAGATCAGGGCATTAAATATGCCCCCTTGGTCTCGCCAACTTTATCAGAAACAACTATGTAGTTGTGCAAACCTTAATCACTCTGTCTTCTCCACAAGTGACTACACACAGTTGCTTGTTGGGATAGGAGAAAGCAAGGTCATTTACACTTCCAACGTGGGCCTCAATCTATGTAAACAAGGCAGTATTTCAGATTCCAGTCACAAAAAAAAAAAAGGTGCAAATGAAAATAGCAAGATTAAACCATGAATGATGAACAGATTATAATATGTACGAGGAACAATAAGAATTTTTCATCAGTATCAGGGAAGCACAAACCTCAAGGTGGTTCTTTATATCATCCCCACCATGGTATGAATAGATGTGAACTATGTGCTTAGAGTAAGCAATACCTGTAATTAACACCCACCATGGGAAGTTTCCTCTTTATAAGAGCACAAAATTAGATTCTCAGAAGAGCAAATGTTATATACCGAATAGACTTCCATCTGGACTCCACATGACACGGTTCACTGATGCTGTATAATCATTAGCAAGAGATGCCTACAAAACAATCAGACAATTAATCACAAGTTGGTCTGAGAAGCATCGTGTTCATTTGCTTAGGGTTAAAACACAAACCTGTAACCCCATCGAACATGCTCCAAGGTCCCAAACCTTGAAATTCTTTAAAGCAATCCTTTCACGACTACCCAGCTCCCATACCATGACATCACCCATGTTGGTGCCAACTAAAAAGACAGAAGCACTTAGCTATGGAAATCCCTAAAGGCGCTGAATAAGCAAACAATAACATGAAGCAAAGAGAATCAATCATCTCAAACATCATAGTAAGAAATGATTCAGAAACTACATGCCATTATGAGAACCTGAAAATCATTCTTTCCATCAAAGACATGAAATATAACTGCCAACAGCAGCCCAGATGGAACAGGGTTCAGCACCCAACTACACAAATTTTGTTTCACCTCCAAAAATTTAC